ATTCGAGAAATTCTAGGAATTCCAAAAATTCTAGAGATTCTACAGATTCTAAAAATTCCAAAGAATCCACAGCGGTTCCAGCAATTCTAGAGATGCTAAAGATTCTAGAAGCTCTAGAGGTTTTAAAGAATCTAGGAGCTCTCTGGAAAGTCTGGAAATCCTAGAAGTTCTGTAGGTTATAGAAATTCGAGGAATTATAAAAATTCTAGAGATTCTACAAATTCTACATGTTTTAAGGGTTTTAAAAATTTAGGAGATTCTGAAAATTCTAGAGAAAATTATGGGGAGGCAAAAGATTCTGGATTCTAAAGATTCTAAAGGTTCTAAAGATCCAGGAGATTCTAAGGTTTTAGAGCTTCTAGAGGTTTTGGGAGATTCTAGAGACGCTAAATATTTCGGAAATTCGAATGGTTCTAAAGACTCCAAGAAATCCAACTCAAGCGGTTCTAGTAATTCTAGGAATTAAAGATTCTAAAACTTCGAAACATTTTAGAAATCCGAAAAATTACAGAAATTTTAGTTTCTACAAGTTCTAGAGATTTTAGAAATTCTAGAGATTATGAAGATTTTGGTGATTCTGTAGATGTTAGTTAAAGATTCTGAAGATTCTAAAAACTCCAATAAAGTCAAGGGTTTAGAGTTTAGCAGATTCTAGAGATTCTGGAGGTTTTAGAGATTTTGAAGATTCTAAAAATCCTAAGATTTTAAGAAATCCAAAGTTTTAGAGTCTAGCTGCTCCATCAATTCTAGAGATTAGAGATTCTAAAGATTCGAGAAATTCCGGAAATTCTAGAAATTCTAAAGATTCTAGTTAGAGATTCTACAGATCCTAAATGTTCCAAGAAATCCACAACCATTCCAGCAATTTTAGAGATTCTAAAGATTCTAGACGCTCTAAAGGTTTTAAAGAATCTAGAAGCTCTGGAAAGTCTGGAAATGCTAGAAGTTCTGTAGATTATAAAAATTCAACGAATTCTAGAAATTCTAGTGATTTTAGAAATTCTACATGTTTTAAGGGCTCTAGAAATTTTGGAGATTCTGAAAATTCTACAGAAAATTATGGAGAGGCAAAGGATTCTGGATTCTAAAGATTCTAGAGGTTCTAAAGATTCAGGAGATTCTAAGGATTCAAGAAATTCTAAATATTTCAAAAATTCGAGAGACTCTAATGATGCTAGAAATTCTTAATTTTCTAGATTCTGAAGATGTAAAAGATTTTAAAGAGTTCAAGAAATTCAAAGTTTTAGAGTTTAATGGTTCTAAAGACTCCAAGAAATCCAATTCAAGCGGTTCCAGTAATTCTAGGGACTAGAGATTCTAAAACTTCGAAAAATTTTAGAAATCCAAAAAATTCTAGAAATTTTAAAGTTTCGACAACTTCTAGAGATTTTAGAGATTCTAGAGATTATGAAGATTCTGCTGATTCTTTAGATGTTAGTTAAAGATTCTGGAGACTCTAAACATTTCAAGCAATTCAAGGGTTTAGAGTTTAGAAGTTCCAGCAATTATAGAGACTAGAGATTCTAAAGATTCGAGAAATTCCGAAAATTCTAGAAATTCTAAAGATTCTAGAGATTCTACAGATCATAAAAGTTCAAGAAATCCACAGCGGTTCCAGCAATTCTAGAGATTCTAAAGTTTCTAGACGCTCTAGAGGTTTTGAAGAATCTAGAAGCTCTGGAAATTCTGGAAATGCTAAAACTTCTGCAGATTATAAAGATTCGAGGAATTCTACCAATTCTAAAAAGTCCAGAGATTCTAGAAATTCTAAGGATTCATGTTTTCAGAGTTCTAGAAATTTTGAAGATTCTGAAGATTCTAGAGGTTCTAGATATTCTAGAGAAAATTATAGACTATCGAAAGGCAAAAGACTCTAGATTCTAAAGATTCCAGAGGTCCTAAAGTTTGAGGAGATTCTAAGGATTCAAGAAATTCTGAAAATTCTAGAAATTCTAAAGATTCCTGAGATTCTACAGATCATAAAAGTCCCAAGAAATCCATAGCGGTTCCAGCAATTCTAGAGATTCTACAGATTCTAGACGCTCTAGAGGTTTTGAAGAATGTAGAAGCTCTGGAAATTCTGGAAATGCTAAAACTTCTGCAGATTATAAAGATTCGAGGAATTGTAGCAATTCTAAAAATTCCAGAGATTCTAGAAATTCTAAGGATTCATGTTTTCAGAGTTCTAGAAAATTTGAAGATTCTGAAGATTCTAGAGGTTCTAGACATTCTAGAGAAAATTATAAAAAGGCAAAAGATTCTGGATTCTAAAGATTCCAGAGGTCCTAAAGATTGAGGAGATTCTAAGGATTCAAGAAATTCTGAAAATTCTAGAAATTCCACAGATTCTAGAGATTCTATACATCATAAAAGTTTCAAAAGATCCACAGCGGTTCCAGCAATTCTAGAGATTCTAAAGTTTCTAGACGCTCTAGAGGTTTTGAAGAATGTAGAAGCTCTGGAAATTCTGGAAATGCTAAAACTTCTGCTGATTATAAAGATTCGAGGAATTCTAGCAATTCTAAAAATTCCAGAGATTCTAGAAATTCTAAGGATTCATGATTTCAGTGTTCTAGAAATTTTGAAGATTCTGAAGATTCTAGAGGTTCTAGACATTCTAGAGAAAATTATAGAAAGGCAAAAGATTCTGGATTCTAAAGTTTCCAGAGGTCCTAAAGATTGAGGAGATTCTAAGGATTCAAGAAATTCTAAAAATTCCAAAAGATCGAGAGGCTCTAAGATTCTGGAAATTCTTGAAATTTTCGAAATTCTGAAGATGTTAAAGATTCTAAAGAATCCAAGAAATCCAAAGTTTTAGAGTTTACCGGTTCCAGAAATTCTAGATATTTTAAAAATTCTAGATGTTCTAGCGGATTTAGAGCTTCTAGAGGTTTTGGGAGATTCTAGAGATGCTAAAGATTCCGAAAATTCTAATGATTCTAAAGACTCCAAGAAATCGAACTCAAGCCGTTCCAGTAATGGATTAGAGGGTCTAAAGCGTCGAAAAATTTTAGAAATCGGAATAATTCTAAAAATTTTAAACTTTCTACAAGTTCTAGAGATCTTAGAGATTCTAGAGATTATGGAGAGATTCTAAAAGTTCCAATAAATTCAAGGGTTTAGAGTTTAGCATTTCCAACAATATTAGAAATTCTGGAGGTTTTAGAGATTTTGAGGACTCTAAAGACACTAAGATTTTAAGAAACCCAAAGTTTTAGAGTCTAGAAGTTACACCAGTTCTAGAGATTAGAGATTCTAAAGATTCGAGAAATTCTGAAAATTTTAGAAATTCTAAAGATTCTAGAGATTCTACACATCATAAAAGTTCCAAGAAATCCACAGCGGTTCCAGCAATTATAGAGATTCTAAAGATTCTAGACGCTCTAGAGGTTTTGAAGATTCTAGAAGCTCTGGAAATTCTGGAAATGCTAAAACTTCTGCAGATTAAAAAGATTCGAGGAATTCTAGCAATTCCAAAAATTCCAGAGATTCTAGAAATTCTAAGGATTCATGTTTTAAGAGTTCTAAAATTTTGAAGATTCTGAAGATTCTAGAGGTTCTAGACATTCTAGAGAAAATTATGGAGAGGCAAAAGTTTCTGAATTCTAAAAATTCTAGAGGCTCTAAGGTTTCAAGAAATTCTAAAAATTACAAAAATTCGAGAGACTAAAGATTCTAGAATTTCTTGGAATTTTCGAGAAGATTCTAAAAAGTCCAAGAAATCGAAAGTTTTAGAGTATACCGGTTCCAGAAATTCCAGATATTGTAGTAGTTTTAGAGCTTCTAGAGGTTCTGAGAGATTGTAGAGATACTGAAGATTCTGAAAATTCTAATGGTTCTAAAGACTCCAAGAAATCTAACTCAAGCGGTTCCAATAAATCTAGGGATTATAGAAGAGAAAAATTCTAGACATTTTAAAGTTACAAGTTCTAGAGATTTTAGAGATTCTAGAGATCATGAAGACTCTGGTGATTCTTTAGATGTTACTTAAAGATTCTGGAGATTCCAAATATTGCAATAAATTCAAGAATTCAGAGTTTAGCAGTTCCAGCAATTCTAGAGACTCTAAAAATTCTAGAAATTTCAAAAATTTTACGGATTGTAAAGATTCTAAAGATCCTAAAGATTTTAAGAAATCCAAAGTTTTATAGTTTAGCAGTTCCATCAATTCTAGAGATTGGAGATTCTAAAGATTCGAGAAATTCTAGAAATTCCAAAATTTCCAGAGATTTTAAAAATTCAAGAGATTCTAGAGGTTTTAGAGATTTTGGAAATTCCAAAGATTGTTATTCAAAGAATACCATGTATATTAAGAAAAAATTAAAGCCAAAGATTAAGCCCCACCCATATCTGCCCTGATCTATATACTAATAAAGTTTTCATTCGTTAACAGGCCTAGGTGTGGAGCCTAATTGTAAAATCCATATTATCTTACAAAAATTTACCATTTTAAATGTGTTTGTGAAAAGAAATCTGCACATATTAAGAAAAGAACGCAAAATGTAGCCCCGCCCACCCGCCCTATCTCAATTGTAATGATTTTTTTTTATTCGTCGTGAGCCCAGGGGGCGGAGCTTAACTGCAGTTTTTTTCTACAAGAAATAAAAAACATGTTTTTGAGTATCGTGTTGTTTGAAAACTATGTATATTAAAAAATAAACAAGCACCACCCATATCCATCCTAGCTCAATTGTAACGAGTTTTTCATTCGTTGTCAGGCGAAAAGGTGGAGCCTAATTGCAAAATCGATACCGCACTACACGTATTAAGAAAAAAGGGCAAAATGTAAGCCTTTGTATGTAGTTATAATACCTATTTTTTTTGAGACGAATAGCAATAAATCTTGTTGATCGAGAACTATCTTTAACAATGCATAAGTACTGACAGAAAGCTACAGTATAGAAAATGAAGGCAGCTATTTAAAATATGAGCGTCTCGGACATTTTTTCGCCGGTATTTTAAGAAAAATATCGGTCATGCGCGCCGTCACCGCAGCCACTTCCGTGTTGACAACAACTGCGTTGTTGACATTTCCCGAATTCTTTGAGGTTAAGAGCCGTCAAGGGTCAACAAAAATGGGAAAAGAATACAAAATTATCACACATTAAAACAGTGTTGCAGAAAACCTCCAAAACAACATGAGCAGCACTACTTTAATTCAGGAAATGCGGACACAATGGCATCTGACATGTAAGTTTACGTTATGCAACGAATAAAAACTTTATTTATTAATTGTGCTCGCACAACACAAAGTTTGAATTTTTTTCTTGTTGTTTTTATTTTGTGTTCGTTCGTTCTCAGTGAGTGCCAATTATTTTTAGCAAAGTTATCAAAAAAATACAATTGCGTTGTGTATAGTCGGTTCCGTGCAGAAATCCCCCGTTAGGGATTTTTTTGTTATAGAGATTAATTTAATTTTTTTTGTTGCAGATTAATTATGATACTGTACACTTGCAGCGACTGTAATTTCCAATGGAAATACTAATTTCGAGAAAAGTTATTTTAGCTCTACTTACCTTGGCTGCCATATCTTTTTATATCAGCTATACATTCAACACATGTCTAGTCAGTAGCATAGCCAAAGCATGGCCCAAAGTAAGTATTTTCGGTTTATTATGAAATAAGGCAACTAAATAAATAACAATTCGATTCAGTGGCGCCATCATCCGGTAGTACCAAATGAAAACTCCATAATTCGCTATAGGACCTCTGTTCGTGTAGTTCCGTTGCTTGACGGTAACGAATCAGACATATCGCCGAAATATAAGTTTTTTCGCGAACAGGGTCTGCGTCCCATGCGACAACTTCCAAGTGCTTTAATTATAGGTAAGTACTACCAACCCTACACCAACAACAACAAAAAAACTAAAAAAACTGTTTCGTAGGTGTAAAAAAGGGCGGTACTCGCGCCCTCCTCGAGTTCATCCGCATCCACCCCGACGTGCGCGCCGCCGGCAGCGAGGTGCACTTCTTCGACAAGAACTACCCGCGCGGCTTCCAGTGGTACCGCCAGCGCATGCCCCCCACCCTCGAGGGCCAGCTCACCATCGAAAAAACCCCATCGTACTTCATCACCAAGGAGGCGCCCCGCCGCGTGCAGCACATGAATCCCTCCACTAAACTCCTCGTCGTCGTGCGCGACCCCGTCACGCGCGCCATCTCCGACTACACCCAAGCCGTGTCCAAGAAGCCCGATATGAAGCCCTTCGAGCAGCTCGTCTTCCTCAACAGCTCCATCGGCAGCATCGTGGACACGTCCTGGGGGCCGGTCAAACTCGGGATTTACTCGCGCTATCTGGCCAGGTGGCTCAAGTACTTCCCGCTGTCGCAGTTCCTGTTTATTAGCGGGGAGCGGCTGGTGGTGGACCCCGCGGTGGAGCTGAAGAGGGTGCAGGATTTCTTGGGGTTGAAACGGGTGGTGTCGGAGAGGCACTTCTATTTTAACTCGACGAAGGGGTTTCCGTGTTTGTTCAAGAGCGAAGGGCACAGCACTCCGCACTGCCTGGGGAAGACGAAGGGCAGGAATCATCCGTACATCGACCCGATTATTGTACAGAGATTGAGGGATTTTTATAGGCCGTTTAATATTAGGTTTTATCAGATGACGGGGATTAATTTTGGGTGGGCCTGAGGAGCAAGGGCGCACCAGACCAATGTCAATTTACTTACGTATACCTCTTGAGAAGACTCGGTTTTGTTATATGTGATTTTGTTGTGAAGTTTGTTTTGTTTTTGGAAATTTGCCTAATCGTTTTCGTATGGGTTTTACTTACACTATTGTAGCTTTTTATTAAATTTTTGAGGGTTGAAACAGAGTTTTTTTTACCTGATTTCCTTATTTTGACGATTGGCGTAGTAGTAAAATAGTGGCTACGTCATCAAGATCGTGATTGGCTGCTGAAAAAGCGCGCCAACTTCAAAATCGCTGTCCTGTTTATTTATATTCTCTCAAATAAAAGTACGATTTCTTAAATTATATCAACAAGTATTTCTCATTATAATAAATTTACATAAACCCCCATCAAAAATACAAACTGCCCTAGCCATCAATTTTGTCAACTACAGTAATTACTAATTACCCTCTAAATTATACTCCCTCGAGTAAAAACGCACTAATTACACGTCAGTTTCACCAAGAAACTTTGTTTAAAATGTTATTAACTACCTACTTTAGGTGGTAATTACTCCTTCCCTCCTGTTTGTGACGCGTCAACTTTGAAATTAATGTCAAAATTAAAAACACAAAAAAACTATAATACTGTCCTTTTCGTAAGAGCTTTCCTCATAAACTTTTGAACTATTTTGACATTTAAAACCACAGTTTGTTTGTTCGCTACGATAACATTTTCAAACTATCAAACTGGAACGAATTTCTCCAAATCAACATAAATTATTTAAAAAAAAACACCAAACACCACCAGCTTCTGCTCACTTATTGTGAAGATCTGAACCAGATTATGGGATTGTTTTTAATGACGAAAGTCGTAGCGGCTTTTTTTTAATGTGACTTTTATCGCGTTCGGTCTCATAACGGCGATTTTATTGTCTTTTATCGTATGAGATTTCTTATTTCTTAATTAAATCAAAATATGGAACTGTGTATACAGTTGGCTTGTCATTTTGGGCACTCTCTCCTATTGGCTACTCAAACGTCAAAGTTTACAGCGTCATCGCATCGCCGTACTTAGTATAAATTATATTTCAGAGAAGCGGAACAATTTAATTAGCATGATTGTAAGTGTGTCATGCACCGATTAAGGTGTTTCGGTGGTGGTGAGGTAATTTAATTTGTGATGTGTGTGGTGCGGAAAAATTTGCTACAACAATGAGAATAATTTGTTATCGTGGTGCTTGTGTTGGGTGAGATGATTTCTCAAAGTGTCGTGTATTTTTTTTTTTTTTAGTTCAGTAAGTAGCACTGTAATTACCCGTCACAAGGTGCGAATTTATTTAAATAATTGTAAATTTCAGCGGAACAAAGTTTAACGAGGTGTGAACACCGTACAAGAGAGTAACTGTAGAAGTTGCATTTTTGGTGTTGTTTCGGTATTGGAGGTTTAGCTAGTTTTGGAACAAAAATTTTGTTTGCAAATTATAATTAAAAAAACTAAAGGCGTAAAAAACTTAAAAATAATTATGACGTCATTTACTAATAGAAATGATTTTTTTAAAAAAACATTCTTGTCCAAAAAATGTATTTTTCAAAATAATAATGCTCGTCCCTTTTAAAAATTTGATGACGTCATCATGTTGAAAAATTGAAAAATCGACAATTTGAAAAATCGGGAAATCAAAAATTTTTAAAACCGAAAAACTGAGATGTCGAAACATGGAAACTTCGAATCAAAAACGTCAAATTTAAAAAATCGAAAAATTGAAAAGTCCCAAAAGTGAAACGTCGAAAAACTGGGATAAAATAAAAATGTAAACATGGAAAACTTGGAAAACGGAAAAATTTAAAAATCGAAAAACTTAAAGTCGAATCGGGAAACCAAGAACTCAAGAAATGAAAAATCGAGACATCGAAAAATTTGAAAAGTGAAACATGGAGAAATCGAAATCGTTCAGGATCGAAACGCCAAAAATTGAAAAATTGAATAATTTTAATTTCAAAAACGTCGATAAATCGAAAAAACGAAAAAAAAAATGCAATTGAAAAATTGAAAAATCCCAAGATTCAAAACATCGAAAATTGATTAATCGATAAATCGAAAAATTGAATAACCCCAAAAAAAATGTAAAAGAGAAATCGAAAAGGCGAAAAATCGCAAAATTGAAAAATCAAAAAATCGAAAATTTAGAATTTTGAGAATTGAAAGCCCGAGAAATCGGAAAATATAAATGTGGAAAAATCTAAAATTTAAAAACCAGAAAACTTAAAATAGCGAAATATTCTCAAAATGAAATGTTGAAAAATTGAGAAATTGGAAATTTGAAAAATCTGGAAATGCAATCATTTTTAAAACCGAAAAATCGAGATGTCGAGAAGCGGAAAATTCGAATAATCCAAAATATAAAAAATCGTAAAATCGCAAAAATGGAAAATCAAAAACGTGAAATTAGAAAAATCTAAAATTCAAAAAATTGAAAAATCGAAAAATTAAAAAATCGAAAAATCCCAAAACCAAGATGTCGACAAATTGGGACAAAATTTGAAAATTCTAAAAATGGAAAACTTGGAAAACCGAAAAAACATACAAGTTGAAAACAGAAAACTCGAGAACTGAAGAAAGCAAAAAATTGAATCATCGAAAAATAAAAAAAAATGGATTTAAAAGAATCAAGTAGTCGAAAAATCGAAAAACCGAAAAATCGAAATATGTATCTAGAAATCGAACAATCGAAATATCGAAATCACAAAAATTGAAAAATTTTAAAACTGAAAAATTGAAAAATCGAAAATTGCCAAATCAAAAAAACGAGAAATCGATAAATAATCGAAAAATAAAAATATCAAAAAAATAAAAATTTCAAAAAATTGAACAATTGAAAAATGGAAAAATTCCTAGGACTCAAATATCAAAAATTTGAAAAATCTGGAAATCCAAACATTTTTTAAATCGAAAAATCGAAATGTCGACAAATGAAAACTTCGAACAATCGAAAATATAAAAAATCGTAAAATCGAAAAAATGAAAAATCAAAAAATGAGAAATCGAGAAATCGAAAAATTTAAAATTCAAAAAATTGAAAAGTCGAAAAATTAAGAAATTGAAAAAGTGAAAAATCCCAAAACCAAAATGTCGAAAAACTGGTACAAAATTTGAAAAATGTAAACATAGAAAACTTGGAAAACCGAAAAAACCTACAAGTCGAAAATTAGAAAAATCAAGAACTGAAGAAAACAAAAAATCGACACATCGAAAAACAAAAAAAAAATAATTTAAAAAAAATCAATTAGACGAAAAATCGAAAACCGAAAAAACGAAATATCTAGAAATCGAACAATCGAACAATCGAAATCACAAAAATTGAAAAATCTGAAAACTGAAAAACGGAAAAATCGAAACCTGCAAAATGAAAAAACGAGAAATCGATAAATCGAAAAATTAAAATATCAAAAAATTGAACAATTGAAAAACTGAAAAATTCCTCGGACTCAAATATCGAAAATTTGAAAAATCTGGAAAACTAAAAATTTTTTAAGTCGATAAATCGAGAAATATAAAAGGTCGTAAAATCGAAAATATAAAAAATCAAAAATGTGAAATTTAAATAATCCAAAAATATAAAAGAAAACCTGAAAAATCAGAAAATGAGAAGTCGAGATATGGAAAAATCTAAAATTCAAAAAATCAACAAATTCAAAAATCGAAAAATTGAATCATTTGAAAAATCGGAAAATCCAAACATTTTTCAAATCGAGAATTGGAATTTTGAATAATGAACGAAAAATTAAAAAATCATATATGTAATCGAAAAAATGAAAAATCAAAAATGTGATTAAAAAATCGAAAAAATGACAAATCCAAAACCCGAAAAATCAAAAATCGAGAAATCTAAAATTCCAAAATTTAAAAAATAAAAAATTGAGAATTTGAAAAATCCTGAAACAGAAATGTCGAGAAATTGGGACAAAATTTGAAATATTGAAACATCGAAAAATTGGAAAACAAAAAAATTGAAAAGTCGAAAAATCGTAAAACCGAGAACTCCAGAAATCAAAAAATTGAAACATCGAAAAATTAAAAAATTGAAACATCGAGAAAGCGAAACAACTCAAAATCGCAGAATCAAAAATTGAAGAATTGAAACATTTTAATGTAAAAAAATCTATAAATGGAAAAATCGAAAAACTGCAAAATCAGAAAACGCGTAGTCGAGAAATCGAAAAATTTTAAATTAAAAAATCGGAAAATTAAAATATCAAAAATGAACAATTGAAAAATTGAAAAATCGCTAGACTCAAATATCCAAAATTTGAAAACTATGGAAAATTAAAAAATCGAAAAACTGAAAAATCCCAAAACCAATGACGAAAAACTGAGACAAAATTTGAAAAATCTAAACATGGAAAACTTGGAAAACCGAAGAATTGTAAAATCGAAAAACCTACAAATCGAAAAATAGAAAAATCGGGAACTGAAGAAACCAAAAAATCAAAACATCGAAAAATAAAAAAAAATGAATTTTAAAAAAATTAATAAGCCGAAAAATCGAAATGTCTAGAAATCGAACAATCGAAAAATCGAAACTACACAATCACAAAAATTGAAAAATTTAAAAACTGAAAAATGGAAAAATCCAAAAATTGCAAAATCAAAAAACGAGAAATCGAGAAATCGAAAAATTAAAATATTAAAAAATTGAAGAATTGAAAAATTGAAAAATCCCAAGGACTCAAATATCGAAAATTTGAAAAATGTGATATGTATGTATTTAAAAATATCGAAAAAATTAAAAACAAACCTGAAAAATCAAAAACTAAGAAATCAAGAACTAGAAAATCAAAAAAACGAGAAATCAAGAAATCGAAGAATTTAAAATTTAAACAATCGAAAATAAAATATCAAAAAATTGAAAAAATTAAAAATCGAAAATTTGAGAAATCGGTAAACTGAAAAATCGAAAAATTGAAGGATCGAAGAACTGAAAAATCGAAAACCTGAAACAATGAAAAACTGAGGAATCGAAAAATTGCAACAGGGAAATCGAAAGACGAAAAATCGAAAAATTGATTAATGGAGAAATAAAAAAAATTGGAAGTTTAGAAACACCAAAAATAGAAAAATCAAAAATGTGATTAAAAAATCGAAAAAATGACAAATCCAAAACCTAAAAAATCAAAAATCGAGAAATCTAAAATTCCAA